AGGGCTACGTGGAGCGAGTCCTCCTGCTGAGAAAAGGTCACATAAGCTGCCTGAAGAATCTAGTGGCGCCTGAGTATTCTTACTTATGGGTCAAGCTGTCCGTGTCCCGAAAGCAGCTGCAAAGTGTTTCAGCAGAAGTAGATGTGATAGGAAAGCTAGTGATCGGGCTGATGGGAGGGCAGATGGGTGCTCTGACTACAGAAGGGCTGAATGAAGACCTGGTCTCATCTTTGTGGTCCGTATTTTAGAGGAGCTGGATCTAGGGGATGCAGTTGAGTTCAGATTCAAATCTGCTTCGTTGTCTACATCTTTTGATCTGAGGAAGTGGGTCTGGCCCACGAAAGCTCATCACCTAATAAACCATCTGGTTAGTCTTTAAAGTGCTACATTGTCCTGCATTTTGCTTCAAAAAGAGAAGGGGGATGCATAAGAGAGCTGGAGGCGGGGCTCCAGTATGGCGAGAGAAGGTCCTGGGGCAGGGGAGGGGTTTAGTGGGTCACTATCCTTTGGTATATATGGTTGTGACTTATTTTCTTTCACTGAGGAAGTGGGTCTGGCCCACGAAAGCTCATCATCTAATAAACCATCTTGTTAGTCTTTAAAGTGCTACCTAGTCCTGCCTTTTGTTTCTAGGAAGAGAAGGTTTGGTGGGGAGGGTGTCAAGGTGGCTTTTGGATTTGTTGTGGTGGTATGAAAGTAACAGAAGAAGAGGTAGATCTCCAGGGGTTTGGAAGAAGGGCAAGGGTGGGAAGTTCAGAGGAGTAAAATGAGGGTGTATAGCGTCCTGGGGAGGAACTCTCAAAGATACAAGAGGCAGAAAAAGAAGTTGATGCTGTGGAAGGGAAGCATCTGCTCTGTGGTTTCATTCCTTTGTATTTCAGTTGAAGTCTAGTTGCTTTAAGCATCTCGGTGGCAAATCATGAAAGCATTAGAAAGATCAGAAAAGCCCTGACCAAACTTGATAGCTTGGGGTGGGGAAGGTAATGGTCTTCCTAATGACTCCTCCTCTTTGGATAGTTCTTCTCAATCGATTTTTAGAATAATAAATAATTTTAAACACACCTAGTATGACTGTAATTTCGATGATGTGTTTCAGTTAAAAGACCAAGGCTTCCTCAGTATGCTTTAGGAGATTAGGCCTTTTTTTAGCATTGTTTCCTGTAGATACGTCTATTGACTGCTACCTTATTTGATACATTGAGTTTTATCTTAACACAAAGGAGCCTGAAGCATGTGTTAATTTAAAGAAGAAATGTAAAAAGAGCAGGTGAAATTGGAGATTGAAGTTCCCAATCCAAACAATAACTAATACAGTAATTCCTCATTTAACACTATAAATATGTTTTAGAAAATGATCGTGTTAAGTGAAAACATGTTATGCGGGGTCAATTTTCCCATTGAAAATAATGGAAAAGGTAGGGGTTGCGTTTCAAGCGGTGGTGTCTGTTGGGACTGGGACATAAGGTTGGGGAAGAAAGGGGACTGGGTTACAGTAGGGAGGGGGAGAAAGGGGACTGGGTTACAGCAGGGAGGGGAGTTGTTTGGCTCTGGGGAAGGGATGGGGAGGAGAGGGGAGGGGGATTGGGTTGGGAGTATGCCCCTGTGATGGGTCTGTCGGGCCCTGCACTGCATCCAGCAAGGGGGGGGGTCACCGGGGAACGGTGCGGTGAGCAGTGAACCCTCCGCCGCTTTGCAGGGAGGCAGGGGGAAGCCACGCGCAGCTGCCGGCAATGGGCCAGCTGGGGAAATCATGTTATTCCGGGGACGGTCATGTAATTCAAAAAAGTTCCCTAAAAAAAAATTGTGCTATCACGAAAACGTGTTAAGTGGGCACATGTTAAATGAGGAATTACTGTACATTGGCAGTGTTCTGCTCTACCCTTTCACTATTTCTTATCCATGATAGGATGGACTCTAAAAGTAAAAAAGTAGTTTACTGTGTTCATACAATCTTTAAAGACAAAAACTGAGGTGCTGCAGAGAATTTGCAATGCAGTATTAACTTGTGTTCTCAGTGTCCAACAAAGCTGCAGTAGTAGTGTTTGCTATATAGGGATGCTGAAGTGGACATTTGAGAAAACTAGTTGAAATGACATTACTTTTAAAATATCTTGAGTGGGCCCCTTGTCTCCATTGCAACCCACAGCAGAATGTTGTTCTAATTCTAACTTTGCTTTCTAGTGTTGTAGATCAATTATCACTTTGCTTTCTAGTGTGTGTATGTATTAGGAATGTATGTATGCGAGTAGTCAACTACCCAATAAGCCTAGTCGACTACTCACATTCCCACTGCCCCTCTATCAGAGGCAGTAAGGAGAGAGCAGGAGCTGGTGCTTAAAAGCCGGTTCCCTCCAGCACTGTCTCCATGGTGCTCCCTCCCTAAGCTGCTACCTCTATCAGAGGAAGCGGTATAAGGGGGTTAGGGAGTCTGCTGTAAAGCAAGCAGAGGCTGCTGCTGGAACAGCTTCCCGCTAGGACCCCCTAGTCAACAGGGGCTGCTGGACCCAGCTCAAGCCAGGACTAAGCAAGCCCAGCTCAGTTCCGGTTTGTGCCGGGTCCAGGACCTACCCCCGCTGCAGCTCTGCCGTTTAAATGCAGTAAGAGCTGGGCTGTGTGCCTGCCTGGTTCTTACTACTTTTAAATGGCAGAGCCACAATGGGGGAAGGAGAGACTCCCGGGAGCCTCCTCCCTTATCTACTAATCATGTGGTCGATAGAAATACTGTCAATTTTAGAATGAGCTATTTACTCTCTTAACATCCCTAGTATTAATACAGTGTTATGGGAGGTAAGGAGTGAAGCAGCAGGTGTTAAAGCTATAAGAAGGAAGCCTGGAAAGCAGTGCTGGTGCTGTGCCTGGCTCAAATTAATGATGTCAAGCCTTTGCATTTTAAAGTGCTAAAATACTTTGATTTCATCACACACACACACACACAAAAAATCCAGGTGGGTTGGGTGGGAGGAAATCACAGGGTTTATCCTATATCAAAAACTGATTTTTTTTTTTTTTTATGTAGTACTAAGGTTTGTTCTAAACATTTACAAGCACCCATCTTGAACAGCTTACAGGAGGCCCCCGCCTTATGACAGCCTGAGTTCTGACCCCCTGCAATTACAACAATTTTTGAGTGAGGAAGAGGCCGAAAACCCCCGACTTACGTCCTCAGTCTGCATTTACGACAGCGCGGCGTGCCTATTGTAAATGGGGGTTTGAGTTATGACACCCCCGACTTGCAACGCTTCCTCAGGAACCAGTCGCGTTGCAAGTCGGGAGTCTTATTTATGTGTGTGTGCGTGTGCGTGTGCGCGTGCGCGCGCGTGAAATATCCAGTGGTTAAACTGTCTGCAAAATTGGAAATGTCAAAATATGCCCTTTGGCTGCACTTAATTCTGAATAATTACAAATGTGACAATCACTCATTTCTTTAAGCATGGTTTGGTTTGTTTGATGTTATCAAATCTCTTTTCCCTTTGTTCAGATACTGAGGATGCTAGTGAAACTGACTTGGCAAAGCATGATGAAGAGGACTATGTAGAAATGAAAGAACAGTAAGTAAGGTTCCCCTTCCTCAACCAAAAAGTTTTCTACTGTCTAAGAGAATGGTCTAAACTACAAAGTTAAATTGGCTTAAGTATATCACTTGGCTGTAAAAATTTCAGTTTCTCTATGGTGCAATTTAGCCACCACGTAGATGTTGTTATGCCAATGAATTCTTCTCTCAACCTAGCCTCCTGGAGAGAGGAATTTACTGCAGTGATGGAAGCTCCTTTAATTGCTGTAGTAAGTATCTACAGTAGTGCTGGATCTGGGAGCTATCTGGTGGGTCTTAAATTTCTTTTCATGCAGAGCTGCAGTGGGGGTAGCTCCTGGGACCAGCTCAAGCCACGACTAAGCTAGGCTGCCTGCCCACCAGCTCCTAAATTACTTTTTATGTAGAGCTGCAGTGGGGATAGCTCCTGGAACAAGCCAGGACTAAGCAGGGCTGCCTGACCACTGGCTTCTAAACCACTTTTTACACCGCTGCAGTAGGGGTATATCCCAGAACCAGCATAAGCTGCGATTAAGCCAGGCTGCCTGCTCACCGACTCATAAATTACTTTCCCTGCAGAATTGCAATGAAGGATAGCTCCTGGTACTGGCATGAGCCAGGACTGAGTGCTTTTAGTGCTAACCCTTATTGATTAATTGTGTAGTCGACAATTATTGTTGAGTAAACGATTAATGAATTACATGCTTCTTAACATCCCTAGTGGATATGATTTTCCTAGAGGCATTCAACACTGATCCATATTAGGAATGCGAATGACTAGTCGACTATCTGTTAAGCAAATACTTCCCTGGCATGATGGTTGAACATGATGGGATGTTTAAATCTTTGGTCTAGGGGTAAGGAACCTAAAGCTTGGGGGCCAAATGTGGCCCCTGAGGCTGTGGAGAGGCCTTTAGCATTGCGGAGCTTGCGCTGGAGCTCTGGCTTCCACATCATCCTCCCCCCCTGGGGCTAGAGCACACAAAATCTACTAGCCTCACCCTCCTATGCTCTTGTGTGTGAGGGGAGTGTCTTTCTTTTTCTCAGTCTGGCCACGTCATTAAGGGGTGTTTTGTTTTGTTTTACTTCTCACTTAAGTTTGACTCCTGACTGACATTTCTGTGAGTCAGTGGCCCCCAACTCAAAAGATTCCCCACCCCTGCTTTTGTGCATCTAACACATGCATATCCTGCAACACCAGCTACAATAGTGCCCAGCAAAGGCCCGTTCTCACTTTCAGATGACATTGTAAACAAGAAATAGGCAGCATTAAGTCTTGCAGTGTAAACAACTTTTTTATATTAGTGGTTGAATAAGAAATAGGACTGAGTGGACTTGCAGGTTCTAAAATTCTACATTTTTATTTTTGAATGCAGGTTTTTTGTACATAATTTTACATTTAACAGTCCAGCTTTCATAGTAAAGGTAACACTACAGTATTTGTTTTGGGTGAATTTAAAAAATACGTTTTTTGTTTTTTACAGTGCAAATATTTAAAATAAAAGTTAGCATTGTACACTTAATCTGTGTTGTAATTAAGATCACAATTGTAGAAAACGTTCAAAATGTTCACAAATAGTATTAACAGTATGATTAATCACATAATCAATTTTTTAATTGCTTGATGGCCCTAATTTGTAGTATTCAGTAGTCTCTCACTTATTGGCAAAGATATCTTATGCTTGGCTGGAAGGTTAAATTTAGGTTCAAGCACAGATCATTGAGGCTGTAAATCAAAGTTCTGTTTGTGGCTTTGCTATAGTTGTCCTCTTTGCTTCTTTTGCTTGGGTATTGGGGAAGGCTTACTTTAAACCAGTGTTTCTCAAAGTGGTCCTCATCCACTCTGAGAAATGTGCTAACTGGCTGCTCCAGTTTGTTTGTTTATCGGTTCCACAGTTGTGGAGCCTTCTGGCTCCCATTGGCTTTGATTCACCATTTGCAGCCTAGGGGACCCATAGAAAATGGCGTGGGCCAGAACGCGGTTTCCCACTGTTCCCCTTGGCTACAAACGGTGACCTGTAGCCAGTGGAAGCAGGCTCCAGGGGTGCAAGCTGGAAAATAAACCGGAGCGGCAAGGTAGTAGATTTCTCAGAGTGGATCGCAGACCACTGAGAAACACTACTCTAAACCCAAAACTCACAAGGCATGAAAGTAGTCCCTTTTTACAGATGGGGAACTTTTTACAAACGAAGCACAAAAATGGAGACTTGTCAAAGATTTGGGATGGCAGAATGATTGTCATACTGTTCTTGATATCAGTGGATCAAAACATCTTGCAACAGTTGTTTTTTGAGGTTCCCAGCATAATCTTTTATGGTTTATTATATAATTAAATGGACAGTATAGTTTTTAACCTTTTTTTGTAAAAGGCTTTTTAGGAGCATCACTTAGTGTGAAAAATCAAGTGGATTACTCACCTCAGCAGGTGGTGAAATAAACAGTGTGTATGGTCTGTTATGTAATGTTGCCCTCTCTTTGCAGGATGTATCAGGACAAACTGGCATCTCTTAAGAGGCAGTTACAGCAATTGCAGGAAGGTAGGATTTAAAACTAGTACTATAGCTTTTTTCTGACTAAGTTTTCTGTTTCTAAAAAAGTCTCTGTATAAATAACAATAACAATGCCCTGAAAGTGTTGCTCATGGAATAAGGACAGTTTTCTTCTGTGTGCATTAGAATGAGGATTTTAAATGATGCTTTACATTTTTGTAATGGGGTCTCTTTGCTTAACACTTTCATTTGTGTGATCATTTGCTGTTAAATGGGGGGTAGGAAGTGTGAGGACTTGTGTTTCATCCAGTTGTGGTGGGGTTTTTAAATGTGTACCTCATAGTTCTCTAGAAAAATATCCTTTGAGACAGAGACCACTTAGAAAAAATGGTTGTCTTCTCATACCTCTTAATTATTTGCTATTATACTCCATACTTCCTCTGAAATTCTCTGTTTGATGTGCCTTTGGCAGATTCTTGCCTTTCCAAGGGGATACATCCAACTTTATCTTGGGAGATTGCATGATACTTGAGTCATAAGTGCTTGAGAGGTAACAAAACAAATTCAGACATCTCCTGCCATGCACACAATTAATACTACTGTTATATAAACATTCTGGCTCCTTTTGGGAAAGCAGAGTAGCAGTCAGCTTTTTAGACTTTTTTCTTCAATAAATGTATGCTTTATCTGAAACTCTGAATTTACCTAGAAAGTCTGGACTATCAAAGATTAGTATTTGAAAACACAATAAACCTATTCCAAATGGCAATTTATTTTAATTAGGTACTTTGCAAGAATACCAAAAAAGAATGAAAAAATTGGATCAGCAATATAAGGAACGGATACGGAATGCAGGTGAGTTGTATATGTCTGTAAAAGATATTGCATGCAGAAAATCTTTGATTTAGATAGATGCCTCACAGATTAGAATCACACCTAAGAAACATATGCATTCAGTACGAGGAGAATGGGTTGGCAGGAGCCAAGGATTCTCCAGACTGCCACGCCTTTTGGTTGAAGCCACATGGTTTCTTTGCTGAGGATACTTAAGACCCAACAGAATCCATAATACTTTTCTATAGGTATATTGGCTAACTAGAATATGTTTATCAGTGAACAGTAGTCTTGACAGTAATGACGTCTTTTAGTCTACTATGACCTCATGTAATTATAGTATTTAACTTCTCTTAATTATTCTTTGAATACATCCTCTTTCAAGCTTCCTATTGTAGAGATTCCTTCCAACAAGAGGGGCGTGCATTGAGAGCTATATAGCATCCTAAAGAGCTCATTGCTTGTGCTCTAGAATTGGTTAGAGACTTTGCTCTAGAGCAGCGTTGTCCTTCCTTGGCGGGGAGAGGGAGGCTGGATATACTGCTTGTACATCACATCACAGCTTGCTGGCCCAAGATCAAAAGGCCAAGTTAGTCCTTGTCTGCGAGGCCATTGGCAGTGCTACTTCAATTGTGAAGCTGTTGCTAGGACACACACTAAACTTTACATAGAAAGATTTACTGACTCAAAGCATGTTAACGCGTTGTCCTTCCTTGGCGGGGAGAGGGAGGCTGGATATACTGCTTGTACATCACATCACAGCTTGCTGGCCCAAGATCAAAAGGCCAAGTTAGTCCTTGTCTGCGAGGCCATTGGCAGTGCTACTTCAATTGTGAAGCTGTTGCTAGGACACACACTAAACTTTACATAGAAAGATTTACTGACTCAAAGCATGTTAACGTAACTCAAGATTCCCCCATAGCTGTTATGGGAAATTATCAGGGAAAG